CAGAACAAGCCAAAAGGAGTGAACTTATGTGAAGACAATGGGGGACGCAAGGAAATGGTGGCATTAAAACAAAGTAATCATGATGGGAAATAATTAAGTACTGGTTAGACTTTTTTTTCTTATGATTGTCAGAATTTCTGGACTCATATCTGCTTATTTAAGCGATTATTTTATAAACATAGGGCAAGTGACCTTGAAGTCTTTTTCTTAAGTGAAGGTTTTGTGAGAATCATAGGAAATAATGTCTATGAAAGCATTTCCTATGTTGTAAAGTGCTCAAAACATATGTTGAAATTATTAATAAAAGCAAAGATGAATTGCTGTGATTGGTCTTGTGCCTTGAAGTTTGTTCACTAAATAAAATCTGTGGGATTAAAATTGAGGATCTTGTCAACCTCAAGGCTTTTCATAAAGAGTTTAGCAGACATTTATTGAGGTGCCTGCAATGTGTCATGCCCTTCTGGAAGCTGACAGGAGGTACTCAGATGGGTAAGTCACAGTTCTTGATGTTACAGGTGCTTGTGATTTAACACTGAGAAGATAGGCACACAAATGAGTAGTTTCAATTGCATACATAAAGTGATCAGATAGAATGTGCAAGGTACAAAGGGGATACAGAAAAAGGACACATATCCCAAGATGAGCTTAAAGGACGAACATCTGAAGATGAGACTGAGCTGTGTTTTGAAAAAATAAGAGTATTTAGGGGAAGAAAGATGTGAAGTATACTTGGATTTGTCCATTATAAAGATATTCCTTTGTAGCAACTGGGTACTTATAAACTGAGACTGGGTAATTAATGAAGAAAAGAGGTTTAATTGACTCATGGTTCTGCAGGCTGTACTGGAAGCATGGTGCCACAGTATGCTTGGCTTTTGGGAAGGCCTCAGGGAGCTTTTACTCATGGTGGAAGGCAAAGCAGGGGCAGACATGTCACATGGCGAGAGGGGGAAGTGCCACACTCTTTTAAATAACCAGATCTTGCATGAACACAGAGTGAGAACTCATTACCATGAGAGGCACCAAGCCACTCATGACCCAAGCACCTCCCACCAGGCCCCACCTCTGACACTGGGCATTACATTTCAACATGAGATTTGGAGGGGACACACATCCAAACCCTATCAATACCTTATGCAGAGGAAACAGTGCTGGTGAAGGCTTGCAATATGAAATGTGAGGCATGGAGTGGTCAGGATATTGAGTGGCAAGACTTGCTTATAGTAAACTGGTTTGCATGACTCTCAGAGTGACTGATACCAAGCATACTGGAAGAGGATTGGGCTTGGGGAGAACAGTGAGTTCTCCAGATGCTACATTTGAGGTGCACATGAGACAGTCATGCAACTGGCAAGTCTATGCATCTACAGAAATTCAGTGGAGAAGTTGGGGCTAGAAATTTGGATTTGGAAGTAATCAGAATACAGGTTAAAATAGATGAACTTGTTCAAAGACGGGATACTTATAAGAGCTGTTGGTTAAGAAAGCATTTTTGGCCGGGTGTGGTGGCTCAAGCCTGTAATCCCAGCACTTTGGGAGGCCGAGACGGGCGGATCACGAGGTCAGGACATCAAGACCATCCTGGCTAACACAGTGAAACCCTGTCTCTACTAAAAAATACAAAAAACTAGCCGGGCGAGGTGGCGGGCGCCTGTAGTCCCAGCTACTCGGGAGGCTGAGGCAGGAGAATGGCGTAAACCCGGGAGGTGGAGCTTGCAGTGAGCTGAGATCCGGCCATTGCACTCCAGGCTGGGCGACAGAGCGAGACTCCATCTCAAAAAAAAAAAAAAAAAAAAGAAAGCATTTTTATAAATACAGTGCCTAGGTTTGAGGAATACATAGAGGATGAGGAGCACGTGATCACCATTGAGAAGGGACAGAAAGGAATTAAGCAAACTAGAATAGAAGGGTATCAGAATTTTCACCACCATGAAGCACAGTGGAAAGAGCTAGTAAAAATGGACTGGAAAATGGTGATTGGAACAGCAGTCTGAATGCTGGTTTTAGTGAAATGTTGGGGGTTGTAATCTTCTGTTTTTCTCTTTCCCCTGTCTCAGTATTTATTTCCCTAGCTCCTTCGAGATCCCCCGATATCTCTCTCTCTCTCTCTCTCCCCCTCTCACACATACTCACTCTTACATACACTTGTGCATACCTCTTTCCACCATGAACTTCCTCCTCTTTGCACACTCAGCCTGACTGATGTGCCTGAGCTAGCACTGGTCGGCTCATCACAATAACTCGACGTGTGCTGTATACTTCAGCTCTAATGTAGACCTTAATGAAGCTGTGGCTAGGAACATTATTTTATTAGCACCTGGAGAAACAAGAGTCAAATGTTAGGGCCATTGTGGGTTATAGGGGTGGAATCAGAGGAAGGGACCAGTTCCATACCCTGACGAGAATGGGTGATTTCAATAAATGAATAGAGTTCTTCTCATAGTCAACATGATGGATGAGCCAAGATCAAGAACTGACAGGATCAGATTATTTTCCTGAGCATTTCTTGTGAAGATGCTGCTTTTAATTTTCCAGGTGCTTGCCTTCCAGGTTGTGCTACTTTGTCTTAAAAGTGCACATCAACATCTGATACAAACATTGCTGTAAGATTCCGTACTGTCAAGGAGCTTATTTAGCTCCATCCTGGACATCCTTCTTGCTCCTAAATCATACTTCTGTCATTCTGTTTCCTCGCTGACTTCAGCTTATAAGAGTAGGCTTTTTCTGTAAACGCTTTCCTTTTGTTCAAATTGATTAACTCTCTAATATTCAGTTTCCCATGGAGAACGAGATCCTTACTCTGATTCCAGTGCAGTGGCTGGGCTCCCAGCAGCCAGTTTCACTTATGCCAAGTCTGTTTTCAGATGGGAAAGGTAGGCTGGAATTCCGCTGTCCATAGATCTCTTGAACAGTGCGTGCTTCCCTGCCCACCTACCCAACACGTGGATTTTGTGTTCTTCCCACCTGTGGGGAGACGCTGGCCACTCTTGTCTATCTGGAAGCAGCCTCTGTAGTTCTGGGTGGTTTCCCCAGTCCCTGTGCTGGCACAGTGCGTAACTTTTTAGTATGTGTCTCTTCCTCACATTTCCATTATCATTTCTTCTTGTTATGACTGTCTCTAGGAAGAAAATAAGTATGTGGCAAGAGGAGGTTTGTCTTTTTTCCCTTCCCTCTTTTCCCCTTCTTTGCTTCAGTTAGTTTTCCATTTATTCTAAGAATCACCTGGGACTCCTCTGAGAATTTGAAATACAAACTCAAGGAGGAAGAATGAATTACTGTATTTCAAAAGAAACATGGTAAGTCATTTTAAAAGGTCAAATAAGGTCAGGCGCGGTGGCTCACACCTGTAATCCCAGCACTTTGGGAGGCCAAGGCAGGCAGATCAGTTGAGGTCAGGAGTTCGAGACCAGCCTGACCAACATGGTGAAACCTCATCTCTACTAAAAATACAAAAATTAGCCAGGTGTGGTGGCAGGAGCCTGTAGTCCCAGCTACTCAGGAGGCTGAGGCGGGAGAATTGCTTGAACCCAGAAGCAGATGTTGCAGTGTGTCGAGATCACACCACTGCACTCCAGCCTGGGCAACAGAGAAAGACTCCATCTCAAAAAAAACAAAACAAAAACAAAAAACACAAATAATCATTTCTTTTAACCTAACTTGTTTCTCTAAAGACCTAACAGATTCATACTAAATATTTTAGTTGCAAATTAAAAACTGAAATTGTTCTTGTGAGGGTTAGGTATGTTGTTGAGTCTCACACAATTCTCCAAGCCACTCAGCCTGATTTATTTGGACTACTCTATCATATTGCAAGCTCTGAACTTTTAAGAGGAAGTTTGCTACATTAGATCAAGGTGGTTTTGCAATGTATTTTTCTCTTTAATGAGCAAGATTAAAGCCAGTATAGGAAAAAAGGTACTCTTGCCAGATAAAGTCTTGCAAACTTCTCCGAAAATTAGAACCATGTAATCTATTAACTTTCCCATCCCACCTTAACTTCCAGATATCTGGACTGAATTTCATACTCAGTTGCATGAATTCTCTCATTTTAGGTGCCTAATGACATCTGCTTCTCTCTTATTTTAACAGATTATTGTTCCCTTTTCATTGTCTGATTTTATAGGTTTTAAATGCATCAGTTATAGGAAATCCTTTTTGGAAACAGGTGGGAAATAAATAAACATACATCTATATGAAATTAAGGTAGTTTTGGGCACTACCTTAGAGATTTTGAAATGTTTCTGTAGTATTTCTTTGATACTGTGTGTGGGGGGGTGTATCTCACAAATAGGGAGATATCAGAGTGATGTGATCTTTTTCTAGGAAAGAATACGTTACAGAACCTAGTAGAAAAGTTGTCTCAGTCCCAAACGACTTACTTCATGAAATATTTAGAAGCACTTAGTGCTTTTAAGCAAATGTCTTATTCTGTGTCCTTAGGGAAAGTATTAATCTGGGTATAGAGTGTTCACTTGTTTTTCATTTTTATTCTTGACCTGCGGAAACTCGGGGGGTGGGTACATGGGCTGTTTTTATGGCAGCTAATCACTTTATAGACTTAGAGTGAGTGGTTTTAGTGCATTGCTCGAGAAGCCAATTAAATGCTCACAGTTTCTTGTAAGGACGGTTGAAATTATGTTTGCCTGATTTACAGTGACTGAAGTAGAATTTAAAAATAAATCTTAGCTTGCAAATTGGTGAAGTCTTTCAAAGAAATAACCTGATGAGAGAGTTCACTGTTTTTTTAAGCTATCTAATGTTAGGATATATGTCGATACTCTTGTAATATAATTAATAATTCACATTTCACTGCTTATTGTCAATACAAGGAACTTTCACCTATTATAAATCTCAACTTGTTCATTTGGATAAGATTTTTAAAGTTAATGCAGCTTATATCATATTGGAATCAAAGAGTTAGTCCAGTATGGTGAAATAATCTTACATTAGGACCTTAAGACCTAACACAGTCTTGTATGGTCTGTGTGTTTTGGCTGCAGCCCTACCACTTACGTTTTGGATGAAGATGAACCTCGATTCCTTGAAGAAGTTGATTACAGTGCAGAAAGTAATGATGAGTTAGATATTGAGTTGGCTGAAAATGTAGGAGATTATGAACCTTCTGCTCAAGAAGAAGTGCTTTCTGACTCTGAATTATCAAGAACATACCTACCTTGAGCCCGCTGCCATCTCCTGTTAACCGCAAAGAAGAAATGGAATATCTTGGTTTTTATTTCACAGGAAACTTGAGAGAAATGAGTTTATACAGAGCTGACTCAAAAAGACAAAAAGTAACTTGGGCCAGTTTGGTTTCAAGACAATAAATATGTTATTAATTAATGATGAAATTGGCACTTGTTTTATTTTAGATATTCAGTGCACTTTATGTAGCATTGAATGATCAAATATTGGATTTACCTTTAAAAAAACCTGAGTATCATTGCATGAATTTTTATCTCCCTATGGTTATATCCTGCATCAAATGGATAATTTTGAAGTGTGTTCAGAATATAAAATTGAAATTTTAGAGTTGTTGAAAATCCTGAGTTGTTGAAAGCTAATATATATGTACATGGATTTCTATAGATGTGTTTGTTTAGAAGTGGGTAGATATTGAAGATAAGACTGTTCTTCAGAATCATGTTAACTATTGGGTTGTGACTGAAGTAATCCAGGGTTTGCCTTGAAACCATTACATTCTACATTTACCAAATTAAACAAATAAAACTGTATTAAATGTTGCATTCATTTTGTCATCTTCTTTAACCAGCTCAGATTATTTGATGTATAGAACTTTGTGAGAATGCGATAAAAACCCAGAATTGGACACAGTGATAAAAAGTTGCTTTTAAGAAAGTTGGCTGGGCATGGTGGCTCATGCCTGTAATCCCAGCACTTTGGAAGGCTGAGGTGAGTGGGTCACTTGAGGTCAGGAGTTTGAGCCTGGTCAACATGGTGAAACCCTGTCTACTAAAAATACAAAAATTAGCCAGGAGTGGTGGCAGGTGCCTGTAATCCCAGCCACTCAGGAGGCTGAGGCAGGAGAATCACTTGAACCCAGGAGATAGCGCCACTGCACTCCAGCCTGGGCGACAGAGTGAGACTGTCTCATTAAAAGGAAAAAAAAAAGCTGAATATGCTAGTCTTAAATTTTGTTATGATAGAGGTATACCCACACCTATCATAAGAGATATATCTGAAAGCCCATTTCTCTAATACTTTGCCTCATGGATATACCTAAAGTGTATCACTGCAGTTGAACAGTTTGTTAAGAAGCTTGCAAAATGCAGTGAGGAGATGATCCGATATTAAATGTGCATTTGTCTGTTGAGCTTATTCAGCATCTCGTGAGCTGTGCTGTGTTATTAGACTTACTGAAGTGAATTGATTTAGGGCGTGCTGATGCTGGTATCAGAATCCTAGATGACTGCAGTACATTTAAATCCTTTCTTTTTTTGTTTTTGTTTTGTTTTTGTTTTGTTTTGAGACAGAGTCTCACTGTGTCACCAGGCTGAAGTGCAATGGCATGATCTCAGCTCACTGCAACCTCTGCCTCCCGGGTTCAAGCAATTCTCCTGCCTCAGCCTCCCAAGTAGCTGGGATTATGGGCGCCCGTCACCACGCCCAGCTTATTTTTGTATTTTTGGTAGAGACAGGGTTTCACCATGTTGGCCAGGATGGTCTTGATCTCTTGAGCTCATGATCCGCCCGCCTTGGCCTCCCAAAGTGCTGGGATTACAGGCGTGGGCCACCATGCCTGGCTAAACCCTTTCTTGTAGTGATACCTACCTGGATTTTAGCCTTCTTTCTGCAGGAATGACTTTATTTTTAAATAAAATAAAGCAAATCCATTGACTTTGACTAAGTGTTTTAAGAACTAAGTTTCTGATATAAGAAAACAACCTCCAAAAGATACCTCATTGCAGATTTTCGCCAGGATTCAGGTGCTTAGGTTTTGGCACATATCCTCCTCACTTTTTCCTAAAGTGTTTTTAACCTGTTACAATTGAAAAAGAAATGATAGAGATGGATTTCAGAGTTTTGCGTTTTCCAGATCGATGATTTTTCTTTGTAATATTTAAAGTATTTCATTAACAGTGTCAATTCTTTTTGATGTTTGGGGAGCCATGTTTAAAAACGTAGTATGGAGCGATTGAAAAGGGGTCTTTTTCACTAGCCTAATTCTTCCTAATCTCAGAAAACAAAGATCAAATAGACTGTGAAGTAGACCTAGTCCTCTTCGTGTGGTAACCAAATTTAGGAAAGATCAGGATAACTTAGCAAGGAAAGTATTTAATCATTTATTTAATTATTTATAATTATAAAATTATAAACTATTATTTTTTGTTTTGTATATTTTATGTATAAAACAATTACATATTTTATTATAGTTACACTTCTTCAGAGAGTAGATTATGGAGCCATACAGTAGATTATGTCCATACAGTTAGTTGTTCCTTGGTATTCTTGGATTGGTTCCAGGACCCTGCACAGATACCCAAATCCACAGATGCTGTGGTCTCTGGTATAAAATGGGGTAGTATTTGCATTTAACCTGTAGACATCCTCCTGTATACTTGAAATCATCTCTAGATTACTTATAATACCTAATACAATATAAATATAAATGCTGTGTAAACAGTTATACTATATAGTGTATGTGTTTGTGTGTGTGTTCTAGGAGATGAGGACTCACAATGGGACACTTTGACCAGGCTGGTCTCGAACTCCTGGGCTTACACAGTCCTCCCACTTCAGCATCCCAAGTAGCTAGGACTACAGGTACTCACCACTGTGCCTGGCAGTTTTTTAAATTTGCCTTTTTAAAAATTGTTCATTATTTACTGAATATTTTCTACCTGAGATTGGCTTACTCTGTGGATATGGAACCTATAGATATAGAGGACTGACTGTATATGAATTTGTTTTTGGCTTTTACAAAATTAGAAATTAAACGCCAAGATAGTCATGTGTAAAAAGTAACTACGGTTACTATAATGTGCCGAATGACTCAAATGTTTCAATTTATTATGTTAGCAGTGTAAAAATTCCTAACCACATATTATTAAATTTTATATTAATGAAGTACTTTAGCATACATTATGAGCCTGAATAAAACTTTTTATTAAATATTCACAAGATTGAAGGAGAAATTCTTTATAGTTAGGAAATGATTTTTTCATAAACAATAAATAGCTTTGAAAATATAAAAAAATAATTTAGGGCTGGGTGCGGAGGCTCACCCCTGTAATCCCAGCACTCTGAGAGGCTGAGGTGGGTGGATCACTTGAGGTCAGGAGTTCGAGATCCACGTGGCCAACATGGCGAAGCTCCACCTCCACGAAAAATACAAAAATTAGCCAGGCATGGTGGCATGCACCTGTAATCCTAGCTACTTGGGTGGCTGTGGCATAAGACTCACTTGAACCTGGGAGGCAAAGGTTGCCGCAGTGAGCCAAGATCCGAGCCACTGCACTCCAGCTGGGGCGACAAAGCAAGACTGTCTCAAAAAAGAATAAATAAAATCAAAATGCTAACATGCCTAGTTAGAAATATAATTAAGTTTTGTTGACTATTAATAGCTAAAAATGCCCTTATTTTTACTTCTGTGGCCTCATTTCTTTGTCAGATTATTCAGTATTTAAATTGTGGTTTAGATGTCTTCAATGGCATAGTCCTGAAAATTAATTATCTACGTTGTGCAGCAGTGATGGGATCTGATAAACTGAGTCTGAAGATTTATTTCCTTTACCTTGCATTTGGAACTTTGAATCTCTTAAATGTAGTTTTGGTCTAGTCCACTGGTTCTCACGTTGTGATGTGCATCAGAATCTTCTGCAAATCTTCTGAAGACACAGATTGCTGATTATGTAGATCGGGGTGGAGGTCCAAGAATCTGCATTCCTTGCAAATTCCCAGGTGGTGATGCTGCAGAGCCACACTTTGAGAATCACTAGTATAATCCAATATGCTCTTCCAGCCTCACACCTTCCTGAGAATCATAGGACTTGTGAACTGCAGATTAGCATTGGGGAGAATTTAGATCAAACTAATTTGTAGAATCAAGGAGGTCAAGTAAGGTCACAGGGGCACTTGGGTTGAGCCAGGGTTTTAGCCCAGGTCTCCTGACAACTGCCTCATGTCCTTACCGCAGAGGAGCTGCTAACCTTTGCCTTTCCCCAAAGAGTGAGAACTGCTTAAAGCTCAAGGATCTTTCTTGAATTTATGAAATTTGTTCAGGCAAGGTAGAAAGCAAAATCCTATGGTTCACATTGACTTTTTGTAGCGATCATTGTCTTTTGAAGATAGGAAGTAGAATCAGTCTCTGCCACTTGTGCTAGTTTTTGTGTGGTGTTTAGAAATGGGCATTTGTCTGAATCCTAATTACAAATAAGTAACCTAGAATTCTCTTCAGATAGTGCACTAACAGCAATGAATCTATTCTAAATTTCAAATATCCAAATTAAAATGACTATATTAGTATAAGTACTGAAATGGATAATACAATAAATGTATTAATGGAATTGTTTTGTGCATGATACAGTAATAAATGATAGTAATGGAACTATAAGTGTATCCTTATAAATCCTTGTTTTCCTATACATACTTTACAAAATGTTCATTGAAAACTGGTGAATTTTTCTCTTATGTTGGTGAAGGTTTAGCTGTAAGTAAACTCTAGTTCTTTCCATTAGGAAAAACCCACTGAAGCAATGTTTTAATTAGAATGCTACTCTACTTTTACAATAGGATGTTAATATTAAGTATTTCTCCAATTAAACTGTATTCAAATTCCTGTGACATGAAGAAAAGGAAACCTAGAAGAAAGTTTAATTTTCTTTATGAAAATGAGTATTTTGAAGGTTTAATCCTCGAACATCACATCAGTTGTTTTCCACTATTAATAATATTTACAAAGCATTTTTACTTACCTATATTGGGTTGATACAGGGCAGATGGGAGTCTTTTATTTATACTCCGCTTTCTAGTACGTGAACAATGACGTGACCTTTGGCCACTCCTTCTTCCCACTCTGCTTCACAAGCCTTGTTTACAACTCTTCGAATCTCGGTGCCCTCTATCAAATCCTACCATTTCTTCCAGCTTGGCTGGTTATTGGGAGGCATTGAATAATCACACATTTTCTCAGTTTGAGTTCGCTAACTTTGTAGTGCCAAAATTCATGTGAATGGCCCTTTTACAGTGGAATACAGACCTCACACAGGTCAGTCAGGGTAATATTTGGAGTCTAAGATGTGGCTGACACCCGAGTCCTACAGCATTCTTCATGTGTGTGCATTTGCATGCATACTTAGATCCCTGTGAAGTGGAAATGGATTTGTGGTATTCTTCTATTTGCAAACCCAGATAACCTTAAAGGGCTAAAGAGATTTTGTTCTGATTATTTAGAAAGATTGACCTTTATAATACCCAGTGTAGGACTGTCTCTCTCAAAGACATCATTGAGAAGAGTGGGGCAGGCAATAGCAAACATCTGGTCAGTTATGAAGATGCATGATCTCCCGAATGTTCGTGATGTGCTTTTAAACCACATACAGATCTTTGTTAAATGGCAAATGTGAAGAGATTGTAAAAGGCAAAAACGTTTGTTACTGAAAATTAGAAAAGACTAGTGTTTAATAAATTAATGTCTGCACCTTTGAAAGTAGCTTGATTCTCTGTAGATTTTTCTCTAGCTGAAAGTGTAATCAAATAGAGGGTTTTATGACTAGAAACTTGTTTT